CTTGTGATTGGGCTTGTGACTGGTCTTGTGTCTGGTCTTGTGATTGGTCTTGTGACTGGTTTTGTGTCTGGTCTTGTGATTGGTCTTGTGACTGGTCTTGTGTCTGGTCTTGTGTCTGGTCTTGTCATGGTCTCAACTGCATTTACAACACTGGTTGTTTCATGATATCACGAGACTTCATCAGAATAGTGTGTACATGTACATGTACCAGTTTGCCATGGGTACTCCAGTCAGACAGTAGGCTGGGGGAATGATTTCTTGGCCTGTGTCACTAATGAATGTCTCTCTTTTTCAGAGTGTGCTTCTTTCATTTTTTGCTGCAAAATAGACTTTTACACTCTTTTCAGAACAAATCTAGTTTGTGCTAAATGGAATTTTTATGTCGATACGGTATTCAGTTAAAAGAGTTTATTTCTGATGTGTTCAATTCTTTGTCCCAATTATTTAGATTATTGAAATATTTGAAAGAATTATCCTGTATTTATTCAATGTCACTGTAGTTACTACTGTTTTAGTTTGAACACAGTAGAACTGCTCAATTTTGTTTTAAACTGAAGAGGGTACATTATATAACACATTTAGTTTTATCTGTAAATAATATCAGTTTTAACTGAAATTTTTCATGGTCTGTTTTCAATTGAAAAACCACTTGTGAGAATTTGTCAGCATCAACATTTCTGTTGTATGTCTTTAATTTCAATAATAACTGTATATAGCTAGACATCGTCATGATCAGAAAATATTGAAAGTTAATATGCTATGTGAATTATTTGAGAGAAGTGGCAGCATATCTCCTTCAGTGGAGCCTCAGGGACAGAAAAGGTGTAATTCAAAACAGGTTCTGGAAATATCTGATTGCTGTGTAACTGTGGGCTCCAAAACCCTGAACATGTAGGAAAACATTCATATTAAAAGGCAAGTTATAAACAAGTGCAGCTGGATGATAGCTAACTGGTGACTTTCCAGTTGGAATTAATGGAAAATGTTTCCAGAACCTTAACTATTTTTTTTGGTCAGTTTTTTTGATAATATTTGTATGTTGGTCTTCGTTTGCTGTTTGCAGTGAGCTTTACTTTTTATGGTCATAGCGTGTTACATTCTGAATAGATTGCTTGTTGAGGGATCTACATTCATCATCATTTGTCAACATAACTTGGAATACTCGTGACATTTCAAACGGAAATAAACCTTTGAACAGCTGTTGAGGAAAAATCAATTAAAGTGATAAATCCCACCATTTGTATGAATGCACGTTGCCTCCATTGGAGATCAAAAACAGGTTGGGGGGGCTTCATTTGCCTTTTGCCCATTTTTACAATCAAAATAATTTTGAGTGCTACAAGTTTTTATTGCAGTCTCTTGTCAGTACATGTACAGTCGAACCTCGTTAATGTGAGGTCTTTAGGACTTGGCAAATTAACTTGTCATAACAGAAACTTGTATTATCAGGAAAAAAAACAGGATTGGGGCCTAAGATTTTCCTTGTTATAAGCAGAATTTTTTATTAACAGAGCTGGTATTAACGAGGTTCATCTGTACATGTATTTTGTAAAATTTAAAATTTTATGTGCTGCGTTTGATGCCAAAAAAACTGTTGCTCTGTTGTGATATTTAAATTGTACGAAAAATTAAGATCGATTTTCGATTATTTTGAATGCTAATGTTTTTTGTCTGATTCACCGGGAAATATTGTTAACATTTACGCAGAACGGGTATAAGCAGTTCTCGCAAAGAGCAGTACTTAATGTAAAGTTTTGTTTGTCAAAAAAGAAAACTTCGTTTTGAAAGTAGCATGATTGGATTTTGCATACATGCAGCACATGTAGTGTACTTCAATGTAGTCTGTAGTAATCCAGACTAAAATTTTGGAACGGTGGTTCCTGAGTTGTAGAGGATAAGTGGAAAGGTTGATTCGAAATATATGTTGCTGAGAAAGAATACAGAAGTTGCAGTTTTCCGTTTAATACTGCTCATATCTAATACAATTTTGTGGGTTACATGTGTATATGTATTTTGAATTCAAAAAGAAAAAAAGTGAATCTAACTAAACTGTTTGCAGTTTGCCACAAAAACAAATGCTTTGCACTGAGAAACCATGGTCTTCAGTTTAATAGTTGAGCCGTACATTGTAGACAAGACAAACTACCCATTTTTGTACATTTGCCAATAAAATAAGCTTGTTTTTATTGAAATATCCCTATTCACCCAAATGAGTGGCAGTTCTACGTATAACATTTGGTTTGCATACATCCTAGGTACACTACAAAACAGGAATTAATTGGTTAATATTTTGTCGTTGTGTCCAACCTTCCATCTCTTCCCAATCACATCAAAGTCAATGCAGACATTTGACTAAAGTTATGTGAATTAAGCATACAGAACAGACTACCAGCCAGCTACTGTACTAACATTTATTTTTGGCTGGTAACAAAACAATGCTTGGTAAATTCTACACTTTAAGGAAAACGTTCTGCAAAGAATCTTTGTGAAACTGACTGAAAGACTGTCCTTGTTTTGAAACTGACATAATCACTTTTAAGAGCATGTAATCTGAAGAAACATTTGTCCAAAAATATTGTTTCTTGCATGCAAAGATCTTAGTTTCCTTCTCCGACACAAACTGAACAGAAACTAGGACAGTCCTCTTTCCTTTACAAATAATTCCCCTATCAAATGTTCCTGGTATCACTTAGAGGCAATTCCTGATACTAATCTCTCGTTTATGGAAATGCCCATAAATAGCACAAACATGAAAACTGAACTGTATTTTCTACTCTACAAGACTGAAAAAGCTTGTGGACTTTGATGTCTTTGCGGACTTCACAAAAAATGGTGTGTAAAGACTGAAACACTGTATGCTGACAAAACATCCACAGTTCTGCGTCAAAATACCAACGATATCAATACCAGCGAACTCGGCCACACAACTCTCAATATTTATCACCACAGTAAAGGTTACCATAGCAACAACTCCTTCAATCACAATAAACAATTATGGCAGGAAGTTTCCGAGCGTAATTAGCAAAACTATAATCTATCATTTCTATTACATATTGCACGCACACCAAAATATTACAACAGAATCTAAACAAACAGCTAGAACTGATTACATTACTGTTAGGCAAATCCAAAAGCAAACAAAATCAAAAAACAAAAGAGAGAGACAGATGAAATTGTTTATGAATTACAGCACTGTGTAGTCGCTGAGTGCAATGCTATTTTAAGAGCAGCCAGTTAATGGGGCTTTTTTATGTGGATATAATTCCAGTGTACCATGCTGTCAAATCTTCAAATGTGACCCATCCGGTGAAAAAGAGCTAAAGTTTAGAAGTCACCAGAGCCACTTTTGAGAATACAGGCCTTGTAAAGAGTCTTGTACAATACAGAAATCAGAAGGAACCCTCGACATTTTCACCCAAAACAATGTTTGTTTTCATCAGGATACCGAAATGAGAGATACATGTACATCAGAGCAAAGACCTTAGTTTACCCTTTCTTATGCACACAAACAACTTTCTGATAGGAAATATGGTCTTCTGGCTCATTATCACCAAACAGGTCACAGTTGAGGCACAAAGCTTTCAAGGACTTGTGCATTTCTATGAATTTGCACGTAAATGCAAGTTATTCAGTCTTTTGTAAAATGCATGGCACCCTCTAGAATGATTTGACATATTCTTACATCCTTGTTTTAATTGTTATAGGGTACTGAAGTGCGTATCTCCATGCACCTCGCGTATTAACAAACGTATGCACTCTCCATTTATTTGCACCAGACTTCTTTGTTCATGACGTCACACTTCAGTGCTCCACAGACCTGTAACACAATGGTGCCATGCTTTGTTTAAATGTGCACTTTCCTATGGCAATGAAGTGGGATGTGATCCACTGATTCCCCATAGAAAGTGTACATGTAAACAAAGTGTGACATCATTATGTTTTAGCTCTATTATGCCTGCATTTTTGGTGTACACTATTAACTACTTCATGCATATTTCAGGTTCATTGAAACAATGGAAGAAATTAACTGACCACAATTAAGGAAAAATAAAAAACAGTACAAGATGTTAAAACATTGCAATCAAAATCAAATCCAAACCTCTATGTAAAAGCAAAACAAGAAAGCATACCATTGAGGTCTAACTTGAGACTAATTCTATCATCAGTCGGCAATAAAAACAGAACCAGTACTTTGAAATCATCCTAGATGGAATGTCTAAAATCTTCTTACTTATAAAAACTACAGTCAAATTAAGAAGTTTCAGTTTATAATTCATTTTAACACATCATGTTTTTGTCATGATATACCTCGGCAAATACATTTTCTGTTGACTGAATTTCTGCTTAATACTGAGCGCCACAATGTTCCCACAAAAAGTGTAGCAACACCAGGATGGTTAACATGTTGACGTTTTAATGTATAAAAATTAAGGACATTAGTTTCCCTGTGAACTGATAATTTCAAAGTCTGGTTCTGCAATATTTCAAAATTAAAACCAAATAAAACTGCTTTGATAAACTATACTCTAGCGACTAAATGACTCTGGTATTGTACATTATGTGCAAATAAAGCTAAATAAAACTCAAAATTCATTTTAAACCACACACTTGCTAATTATGTTAATGTCACAACCAACCAACAGCATCATTAATATCTGTACTGATAAATATTCATAACATAAAATATGAATAATGCATGAAGCGTAAACACCATACTGCATTACAAGTTATACTACAAATGGTTAATACTGGTGTTCAAATATTGAAAACAAAACACTACAAACGGGTAAATATTGCTCCACAGATCACAAATCTACACAATAGAAAATGAATAAAATTTCAAAGGAAATTTTAAAACCTCAATAAAAATCCACTCCAAACAAATTCCAAATGACAAAAAAAAAAACCAAACAATATCAAATTCTATTTTTCAAAATTGAGCCTCCCACACATACCAGAGCCCTTTTTTTCTAATCAAAATAGTGTTTCATGAAACACTTTGTGACTGAAATTAGAAAACTAATTTCCGATTTAAGTTGTTAAAACAACATGAAGACTAGCAATTAAACACAGAAAAATGTATCCAACCTGCTTAACCTCTTTATATATCAATAATAAAAGCAATACTTAAACCAATAGATGGTCCTGTTTGTTCATGAAATATCTCAGTAACAAACCGTAAATACTTCATTTATGCAAATGTTTTTCAATGCATGAGATAACAGCTACATGTATGCGGCTGAAGTGCCAGCATTTGTAAGTACAACTGTTGCTAAGTAACAGCTATAGAATTCTCATTAGAATAATGACCAGCTACTGATAAGCAAAAATTCATTGTTTTTCCAGTGCTAAAATCCAGCTACATGTTTTGTCGGTAAATTAAACACATTGTGCAGGAAGGATATATGAACTGTTTATCAAGTGTTATACACAATACTTTGGCCTTCAACTATCAGTGGTACAATAATATTCTCTATTATATACAAGTATAAGTACACTTCACGGCACAGTTAACATAGCTCACCTACCAGAAGGATTTCTCTCCACTATGATTTACCAAGGATTGGGATAAAGATAAACACAGATGACAATCACCATATGTAAATTACCAATCAAAAACAAAATCTAAAAATGACAGCAAGCACATTACTAGATCAAACTTTGTTCCAAAAAAAGTTCCAGAACTAGGAAAGTTTGCCTATTGTATGTATGCAAAGAAGATGGCATCAGAGGATGACTGGACTAACAGGGGTGTAACACCAACACCAATGGTGGCAATATCAACTGCTTAAATTGCTGATAAACAGGAAAGATATACATCCAAAACAACAATGATCAAGAACATTACGGCACACATAGTGACAAACTTTGAAAGTAATAGAATGCATTATGTGTGAGTACACACACGTAGATGCATGTACTCATATGACATTTACACAGACTTAACTATTCTTATTATCTCGGTCACAATCACACAACACGTATGCGCAACATATAACGCTTGGCATTATCAAGGCTGAAACTAATAATGTATCTATCTGAATAGTTTAAGCATCTAAATTGGACAAATTTGACCAAACCAATCTTCCAAAGTTAACTAATACACAACAGCCTGGAATGAAGGATAGTTATTTGAAGACAACTTTCATGTCACACATTATTACTTATGATTGCATCCAATGGTACTTAAGATTTAACCTACTACCCTGATGTTTCATTACTTTAGCCTTTACATGTATTGTAGAAATCAGCTTATTACTCTAGTCAAATCTGGCAGATCTCCAGTTCTCAGAAAGTCATGGTAAAACAAGATTAGAAAAACAGATCAAACATCAGATACTGATCAGAAAGGGAAAAACAAAACAGCATACATGTATGTGATTCAGATAGCATAACAGGTTGTTACAAACAGGTTGAAATTACACAAACTAATGAATAGCAGTTGTTGGAGTTATGCAATTCAAGAGGTTGAGTAACAGCTAAATTTGTGAGCATTGTAACTTGATTATTAAGGCCTGACTTTCATCATTAAAAAAATGGATTGAACAGAAAATGTTTCAAGACAAAAACCGAACAAAGAAAATTAGTTATCAGTTGATGGCAAGAATTAGGACCTAAACTTGGATAAAATAGATCAGGGAACGACCAGAGTTGACCTGAGAAAGAGAACGTCTCAAGCTGGAGATCTATCAATTGACAATCTAACCAAGATTGGTTATTTCATAAAATCACACTTTGTCTAAAATCTATAAAAGACTATGGATGAAATAGTCCATACTGCAAAAAGCACCATACACCTCATATGAACTGTGCAGACCATTTTTAAAAAACATCTACTACAAAGTTAATATTCATGTATTTATAATTCCAGATGCATGTGCTATATATATGTGTGATGAAATAGTCTATGTACAATACGCAGGATTTAGACTTCAGATTCTTATATCAGATGGCCATAGACTGGTAAGAGGTAACCAGCCTGGCTGCCATTTTGAATTCAAAATGAGGCTCTCAAAATTGGATTTACATTTAATAAAACATTCCTATCAATTTCACCACAAAGTATGGCCTGACCATGTCATGTTATACTACATTCTTTGGTTCAGCATAATATGCCAATAGGTTTGCTTATATATCATGTTCTTTCCTCGTCGTTTTAGGCAACAATATTTCATCTTCATTTTGAATGCAGAATGGCACCTATGATTACCGAGTTTCATGGGCAACCAGAGGGGAAAGACACTGTGACAGGGTAATCTGAGTTTGCTACTCAAGAGGAAAATGTCTAGCAAAAATAGTCCACTTCTCTTTACAATTTACCAACACAACTTTCTTTCACAAACACTGAAGTTATTATGGCACAGCTTGCTAACAACTGGACAGCTTGTGAGTTGCTATTAATGCTACTAATCTGAGTTATCACTGTGCAGATCCAACAAGTACTACTTACTAATAGTACAGTTATTCCAGGATTAAATATGCAAATCTTATGTTTCAATAATCACCATTCTACTTCAATTCAAATGAATCAGTCAGGAAGTTCTCAAACTTTCATTAAAAAAAATCGGTCTTATAATCAAACTTTCTGCTGCTGAGTTCATAGTTAACTCATGGATTTGGTTGACTGTCAGATATTTAGAGCTCTCATTGAAGTGACATTAATCAAGTAGTTGATGGAAGATCTTTGATACAATAAGACTTGCATTTTAAGGCATATGGGAAACATCTTCCAACTAAGCTAAACCAATTATTTGCACCAATTCATGTGAGGAAAAAACCTACTGTATGCAATAATACCATTCCATTCAGCACACGATACAACTGGAAATTTGTACATTTTAGAACAGTAGTTTCACAGTAACAAACAAAGCAACATTTAAACCTCACCTAGTCACTTCACATTGCAACTGCAAGCATACATTCAATTCCTTAGTCATAAAAATAGTCTTCTTTTTCATCTACAAAATGTACAATGATCTAGTATTTTTATCACATTATTATTTCACTTGACCCAATCTCAGCTAGTTTTGTGCATCCAACTTACCGTAGCAGTGTATTACAAAGTTAATGCTCCATTTTCATTTCTACAAACCTTCAGAATATTTTACAAGGGGACTTTATTGAAATCACTACTGGTCCCAAAACACCAGTACACATTATCTGTACATGTTCCAAAGGATTTCTCTACAAGGCGATTTATACATAACTGCAGTGGATAGTTTATTAGTTTACAAAATCCATCTGATTTTCCTATTCCAGGCTATTAATATAAGTTACAAAATGACGGCCATCGGATATTGAATAGGTACATCAACAAAGTGTGCATATAACTTAGTGTGATAATGCTGCCGAAGATTCAGCGTATCAAACAACTACATGTACTCTTCTGAACTTTACAACGAAAATTCAATTCATTCTTAACTAAAATATTCCTCCAAACAACATGCTGTTTATTAATCTGTAGCTCTTTGCATAAAATGATACACTACTTGTGGCTACATGCAACATCAATTTATCCATTAAAATGAGCTTAAGTTTAAACCATAACTTCCAATGCAATACATTTATACTGTTTAATAGGAATAATAAAATGGAAACAGTCTTCAATGCTAATGTAATTAGTAATGTGTTTAATCAACACTTAAAACCGCGTCTACAAAAGCTCAGACACACAACTAAAATAACTTCATAACATCATCTACCACACGTCAATGTACTTCAATAAAATCTAGGATTAAAACACTTCTCAAATTCCTTAACATGAAGCATACCATTCTTAAAACACAAGAAATGGTTATTCCTGTATTGGAATTCCCCAATCAATCTAACCCTGAACCAAAACCAGACACACCATAGTCACTGATCAATCCTCAATGGCCCTGCAGTATATCAAAGATTAATCAAAGGTCATTCTACTGCAGGTCAAAGTTCACATCAATCAATGCCTGCATCTTAGTATGAAGGATCAATTCAAACCAAAAAACATGCACACAGAGTAAAAAATCCAACACACGATGCATATTCCCAAAATACACTCCTGGGAACATTGCGAGGCAAACTCTCTCAACTTAAAAATATGACAAAAAGAAAACTGCAGAAGAACTGCTTTTAGGAATTTGGATGCCTCTCGATTTTGACAATCAATTACAGGATTTTGTCACTGCCAGTGACTGAATGTGTGCTTTTCAGCTGATCCTATGTGGGTTACATGGCTGTGGCTTTAGAAGATCAGTTACACATTTTCATACCCAACCAATCTGCTTCCTTGATAATTGCTCTAGTCTGATAAATCCACCTGTTCCCCTTTACTAATTGATTGATTGGTGGTTTGGTGGTTGGCCAGGAGTACCTTGGTACAAACCAATACCAAGACTACAGGTCCAATGCATAGCTTGCATAACACCCGTTTAGTCCTTGCTCAGTGATTAGAATGAGCATTATTTTTTACAGCGCCCTCACTGTTTGAAGGTCACTTTTCACATGTGAAGTTGAGCGAATTTGTCTCGCAAGGCAACAAGTCAATCACCTGTAAAGCCTTGGTACAAGTACTGGTAGGGTGGGTGTGTCTTAGTAGGGCTCAGAGGGTAGGTACTGTAGATGTTACCTGATGGTGAACGAAGGTACACTGGCCGATTGTACTGAGGATGGTAATGCGCAGGGGGCGGAGCCATACCAGCAGGATGGTAGGCGGTAGAAGCTGAGGGAATAGTAGGTGAATGGAGCACAGCTTGAGGAGGCAGGTGAGCAGGGAGAGAGGATTTATAATGAATATGGGCTCCTTGAGGAAGAGTGGTGGTGAGAGGAGAGTTAATCCCTGGAGTTGAGCCGTAAGAATAGACATACTGAGCGTTGGACTGACCAGGGCCTCCTACATGGGACTGCGTGGTCTTTGGTTTATGAACAGGGCTACTATGCTGCTGAAAATAAGGGGGAAGGGTTACAGTAGGTGATGAATGGACTGGTACAACACGATGGCGATCAACTCTATCATGCTGTGCCCTCTGACCTTGTGATGTCACTGGGTCAGCTCTTGTTGACCTTTGACTTCTTGATGACTGTTGTGATGATAGGGTCAAGGTACTTGGACGCTGGCGGTGGTGTGTTAGGTTTGGATGTAACGCTGGTAGTGTAGTCGACGCAGCATCCTTACTGGAACTCTTCTGGGGTTGAGGTTTGGGGGCGGAGTCAACCTCAAGGGGAGGAAGATTGACAAATGCTATAGCAGAGTCTGAGCAGTGATGAGCAGGCCTCTCTTTCTTCAATGCCAAGACCAGATCTCTTCCTTGAGACTTTCTTAACGGATGCAGAATTTCTTCCTGTGTGTCGCTGTGGACTTCCTCTTTTACCCTTTCCTGAAAACTCAAATGACCACTTGGGGGTCTACTTACGATAACTTGGGAGTCTCTACAGCCAGACTTCCTTGAATCACGACTTCGACTACTTCCCACTCCTTCCACTGCTTCTGTAAGATATGAGTTCTTGATACCGTAACCACTGTCTACATTACCATTACTCGGCAGTTGCTGTGGACTACCTTCAGGTGTGTCTCTGATGGTGACACAACTCAAAACATTCTGTCTCTGCACCTTCTCAAGGTCAATCTTGAGAGGTGACACGCCTAGAGATGAGTCACAGGATGATGAAGATGAGGAGTAAGGATGCTGTTGCCGCGGTGATGGGCTCAGGATGCTATTGGAGCTACTCAAGGAGCAAGAGTGGGTGATAGTATTGTCATTGCAAGCCTTGCACATCTTATCTTCACATCTAAGGCAAAACAAAGGAACAATGGCACCGTCTTGTCAATCTTGCCGAGTTCGGAATTCTTAGAATAGCAAACAATGCAGACACTGCACTGTGTAATGAAAATTGACAGAAGTCGCAAGCCACTGTACGGTACAAGATAGCAAATGGTCTTAACCCTATCAGTACTTAATATTAAAATTACTACTTAGAGGACTACTATGTAGTATTTTATAGTACTGATTCCTATAAGCCAATTGATGTGCAGGATTGTTAAGGTTAAGAAGACAATGAGTAACTTTTGAAGGCAGCAAACTTACCCCTTGGCAGGTTTCTCAGTTTCTTCTTCACTTTCACTACTGATGGTGATAACACTTGGATTAGGACTTGGTGAGTCTGCTATGACAATGGGCTCACGCTTGGTTGAATAGGAATCCTCTGCATTAACACCTGTTGCCCTCTGGGTACTAGACTCTTGCTTAGTACTACGATTGTATCTTATACTCTGCTGCGACGAGGCAGTAGGCTGAGAAGTGGATGGGGGCTGGGTGATGGTTGAAGGTGGGGAACTACCACGCACACGTTTGGACTTCTGTGGTGACAAACTGCTGCTAAATGCAGCTGTATGTGTCCTGCAATGTGATACAAAAATGATGAATAAATGACTGATATATTCTGGAATGATGATATTTAACTCAAACATAACAATATTGATTAAAAAATACAAACTGCTGGACAAAAAATATATTGAAAACCTAATTATTTACCTCAGATAGTATTTTTCAAGCATGATAGCGATTTATCAGGCATGCAAATTCCAATCTTCACAAGACTTTGAATCGTGTTTTTTCAATTTTCAATGGCATGAGTGTAAAGTGAAAACCAAGAACCAGCTGATCCAAGGAAAAGCTGTATGCCTGAATTTCTTTGCAAAAACAGCTTTAACAAAGCGCTAAAGGGACTAAATTAAAACTTACTAATATGTGTGGGTTATGACAAGGATCTAGAGATTGTTATCAACTTGGCAATGAGTAGATCCATGTGTAGTCTTAATAAGGTGAGTAATCATCGTAATACTCCATGGAAGTCAAAGCAGTGGGGACGTCTAGGAAGGTTAGAGATTAGAAGGCTACAAACACTGTAACGCTTGACTCATACACCATACGCTGGGCTTGATCACCTATATATAGCACAGCTGGTTTCTACTGGCTACGCTCAAAAGGAAGTCTGTAATTTCTCATCGCTATGAAATGGCAACATTCACCTATAACCCTAATTCAACTGCAATATGTCAGTCATTTTGCTTGCATGGTTTCTAGTGCTAATAGAGGTATTTGAAGGTTGATCGTTTCCTGTCAAGGACACATCTTTGAGGCAATCTTAACCCTAATCCCCTAGGGTGTGTGTAAAATCATATTGAAATTGAAGGATTGAGGACTATTATAATTAAATGAGTGGGGTCAGGATTGTTTCGCAGACGATTCTTTTCTGATTAACCAGTCCCTGCCGGGCGACCCGTTTTCGAGTACATAGGCTTTGTATGCAGAGCCGGGGAGCCCAGAACTGGGACAAAAGAGTTGGGCCTTATAACAAAAGGCCGCGCTCAGCACAAAAGACTGAGCTGCTGGGCATTGCAGACATTTTTTCGCTCTCAATAGTGGAGATAATCCAGCCTTGTTTTGAAACAGTATACCACAGTTTGAGGCATTTAGAGCCAGCGGATTACCACCGGAGACAAAAGTTCTCCACCACCGCAGCGATGAGCCACACAACACCGCTGCATGCTAATCTGGCTCTTATTGAAAAGAGGTCAGCAGTGCACTGTGCCGGTTTCGTAACACTGCAAAATCTGGGCTCTTTTTCCACGGCTGCAGGCCTGGCTACAGGCCTGGCTGAAATATTCAAAAGTCAATGAAGGTTAACTATCAGCTTTAGAGTAGAGCCAAAGAGTCCTTCATATAGGTATAAATAGCCATTAAATGAAATGATGAAGTTTTGAAAAATTTTGAAAATGGAAACTCTTGAAAAGGACCCGGCATCTTGAAAAATCCACCCAGCAGCAAGTGGTTAACTTACTTCTGTCCTCCTTGTTTTCTGGCTAGTCTTGCATGTGAGCTCCTGGTAGTTGCTTGGGGTATGTTAGAACTCCATGACTGAGGTTGCTGCAATGCATGCTGGGGAGTCAGAGGCATAATGGGATGAAAATGCCCTCCGTACTGTGACCTCTGTGAAAATACAGAAGCACCATGATACAATGGAATTATTCAAAACAAGACAAGGAGCAAACTTTCCTCAGTTAAAACTATGAACATTGGTACCATATTAGGTGTTGCACAGCCAAGTTCTTGGAGGGGGCCAGAATCCAACTGTGAGATGGGTAAAAAAAACCCGGCTCTTTGAGGGTTAAAACCACATTTCTTTGGCCCATTATGTCCTACAAAGATCAACAGATTCAAAATGACACAATCTTTCTTCGATCTAAGTTCATGATTAAAGACTAATGTTTACCTCAACATGATCATAAATCCCATCAACATCCATATGGAACATTGCTGGACTTTGTTCTGCAGAGATAAATGCAGGATCTTCTGATGGTCGCCATGACATCGTTGCCGTGGGCACATACTGCCGTCTATAACCCACAACAGTAAACAGATACAAAACAAACCAATGAAATATACTTAACTGACCTTATTTCAGCCAAAGACAAACTAAATTGTGCTTTGTGATGCACAAGATACTCAGCAATAACGTGAAAGCACTCCAAAATAGACATCAATGCACTGCGTATGGGCAGAGCCAAGTCAATGGCTAGCTGCATACATGTAGCAGTAACAGTTAATAGGTCAAAGGGTGAAACTATCAACAGCAAGCAAGTAAAGAGGAGCATTTGGCTGTGCAGAATGGTGGTTCCTCTTTAATGTACAGGTTATGACAATTTCAGGTGACAGTAAAGTTAGCAAAGACGGAAGGCCACATTTCCTTTCCATTTCCAACTTCTTTCAAACCAGGGATGAAATTCACATTTGTAACATTCCAAAGGTTTCCGCATGCACCAACACTCATACCATTCCAATTCCATTTGTCATTTTGCAAAGTGACCAGAGTTTTAAAGCTGATTTTCCTTTATGAGATACAATGTTAAAAAACGTGAAACAAAGTTAAGGAAATTGCTGGAAATTAGACATAAAATCATTACTGCAAGATTGTCAAGTGATCAAAGCAAGTGTACATGTACCGGTATCTAGGAATAACGTGTGAATGGCTGTTCAATTTCACTTGCCAAGAATCACGCTGATGATTAGTAAGTGTGGAAGTGTTTGGGGAACAGGAAAGCCAACAGGTGTGAGTAGATACAGGTCATAGCCAACCCCTAGCTACAGCTAAGGTGGCCAGGGTCAAGCAAGTCATTTCCTTCTTCACAAACACACTGGGCTGTGTTTTGGTGACCCAAACCATGAAAATTTTAAGCTTTGGCTATAGGTTAAGCATTTTGGCAACTTCAGTTACGCCTGTATAATGTCATGGGCCCCACCACACGAGTACCAAAGGCTGGAATTTATTCATCAAGTCCAAACTGGCAGAAAATAAGAAAAGTTGCTGCTTTGAAGTCATGTTTCTGGTTAGGAGTGGCCAAAATATGCCCTTGTAAAGACTCTATCACAGACTACATCTCAGTTGGGAGTTTCAACCACAGTAAGGCTGTGTTTTGTGGGGTCAGGTTGGCGTAGAGCTTCTTTCCCCGCCTTCCATCTCTGCGGCCCGAGTTTGATTTCCAGCTTGGTCCACATGTGGATTGGGTTTTCAGTCCCTACCTAATTCCATGGGTTTTATCTAGAACATTCTTTTGGGGTTTTCCTCCCACCACTCAAAACTGTAACTTCTCATTGTCTCTGCTCTAGAGCTTTGTTTACACTTACAAGCAATAGTGCCTAGGGCACTTTTAAGAAATCCTTGGTTTCATTATCAGACAGACTTGATAAAAAATAACAGGTTAATGATATGCATTCATCTAGTATACTTCATAGGCTTTAATGTAAAGATAGTGTCAAAGGTCAAGGGATACTGACCTCCAAGTCTCTGCAAGAGGTTGTGTCTCCGGAATGACAGGCTGTTGTGCCACGGCAGCTGCCCCTTGTTGCCATGGTGACAGGAACATCTGGCCATTGGGGGGCCAGGATTGGACTGGACCATTCTGTGAAAGCAACACAAAACAATACAAAAGGTTGCAGATTTTTTGGGGGGCGGGGAGGTTTCCAGACTTCAAAACAAGATGATAAATGCCACTACATGGACCAAAGAGGTAGAAATCAAACTAAATACAAATTACAGTGGTTTGCGTTAGGCTAATGTATTATTAAACTAGTACAAGGTGCTTGACGTGGAGCGAGTGTGATGTGTTTGGGGTTAAGGGTATGGATGTGGCATGGGTAGAGATTGGGGTGCAAGTAGAGGTACAGAATAAGTATCTAGGATTACAGCAAGGCTATTTGTAATGGCACATGTAAGGTGTAAATGGGAGTCTGATGAGGGGGTGGATGACACAGGTGTACAATGGGAACATCTGGGAGGCGAGTTGGGTACAGCTGGGGTGAAAGTGAGATCCAGCTGAGTTGTGAGCTGAGTTCAGGTGGGATGTAAGTTGGGTACAACTGGGATGAGTCAGGTACTGCAGGTATAGGTGAGGGGGGTATAAAGGGTGGGATGTGAATGAGGTACAGGTGTGTGTGAGTTGGGCTCAGCTAGGGCAAGTTGGTGTCCTTCTTACCCTCAGGAGTACCGTCTGATTCTGCCCCACTCCAGCAGGACCAGGCCATCCTTGCTGTCCTGCATTACCCATTGACATGGGTAAAGCAATGGGTTGTAAGGAGTGTGTAGGGGCCCCTGGTTGGTGAGGTTGACCAACATGGGCAACTACTGATCCATTTGGATGACCATTGAGTCCAGAGTTCTAACAAGCAAAACACACGGCAAATGTCACAAAATAAAATAATGACGGCATCAGATTTACTCTTCCCTTGTCTCAAGAGCAGGGTATTTAGACCCTATTATTTATGGAACATTATAAAAAAAGACTGGCATTACACAGGACTTTCTTTGAATTCTGCACTGACGTGGCTCAGGTTGAGAGTTCAGGATGTTGGTAGCACTAACATGTAAAAACATTTCTATTTGTCTGGCACAGGGAAGTATCCATTACAGGTTCCTGTTATTCGTTTGTTTTCCAGAAAACTTTGAGTATTGAATTTCATTCTTCGGTAAACCTTAGGAGGGCAACTTTTATTTTTTCAAAATGGACACATCCATAAACCAGACAGTAAATTATCTGTCCACAATTTGCAGAATTCTACTAAACACTTCAGAGTCTTGTTAATTCCTCACCTGTGTAAATACTTGATGCTGTAGTGTGAGAGGCTGATGTTGTGCTGCTTGTGTTACTATGGGAACACTGTTCTCAACTCTTAATGGATACATCTGCAATGACTGTAAATGCAACATATAATAACATTGCCAACATCTTGAAATTTAAATCAAACTCTAGGGATTCAGGTTATAAATGTATTTCATCAAGCATGTGATTTCTACAAATCCATTACTCTCCACATCTGTTTGCCAGTTATAAATAATCCAGACAGGTGTGATATGTCATCACATATGTACATTGCCCAGGTCCTATTTTTAGGATTTTTATACTCCCAGTAAAATTGTGCCGATCCAAATGAAGCAATATTGAACTGTGCTTATAGTGAATGAGATCTGAAAACTGGCACACAATGTTCATATTCAACACACAGCATCGGCAAATCTTTGGTATATTCAAGTTTATATGAACGGGTGTTGAAAAGAAACTTGACACTGCTACATAAAGACTACACTTCAGTGAAAACAAAAAGTCAAATGTGAGAACAAAAAGGCAGTGCAAAAAATCATATATGTTCTTATGAGGTTCATAATTACAAAACAGACTGTACAGATAGATGTTCTACCACATGCTAATGTGATGGAAGAATAGAAGTCTTTAGTGATAACCATAGTTAGATGTGACACCAAGGATCTTGAGACAGGAAGACAATCAGGCAAGTAACATCAAAATAAGCCAACACCTGGGACCACAAGACATAAAAGTGACAGCTCATAGTACACAACACCCCTGTTTAGGAAATGGATAATCCCAGGGTTTCAGGCCAACTACAGCTTTTGACAGTATGGACTGATGGACTTGGATTTGTCATAGGGGTGTTTATTTTGAGGGATTTAGGTGCTGCATTCGGAACGGAAGTGGGTGAAAGCCTTTGGGCAGATGAGATCCCAAGCAAGTTGAGTCACAGGTGCAAGGACTGCAGTCTCCTAGATCAAACGGGCTCAGTGCAAAAGTACACTTTAGCACAACATGTATTCGTGAATATAAACAAAAAATAACTATTGTGGGTATTTAAGACATCGACAAATATTTTAGCTTGAAATAACAAACCCTGAAGCATCTATGATTGTACAAACTGTGCTATCACAAGAAAAGTCTACATAACTAAATCAATGAACCACATTACTGGAAGAAATAAAACAAGTGCCAAGAATAAAATCAATCAAAATAATGCCTACAAGAAGTAAAAAGTTCATGTGACTTTTCTTGAGACTTCATACTAATGTGCACTCAGCAGCCATTTTAAGGGGAATTAAAAACATGCACCAAATGAACAAACAAAAAGTTCCTCATCAATGAACCATTGACAGCAGTTGGGCTGATACCACATAACTTGCTACATAAAGGTGAAGACAGATGCTACATAAGAGTGAAGATAGATGCTATCATGGCGTCTGATGGTTGACTGACCTGTTGGAATGGATCTGGCCGTGGGTACTGAGTCCCTGCCTGCTGCGGTTGCACATTCTGTGATACTCGTTGCGCTATCTGCGGAGGCTGATAGGGAATATAGGGACCAGACTGAAGATGGTACTGAAGAAAGGGAAACTCATTACCCTGGGGTCGTACAGAGGTGGTGATTGTCTGTGAGGTACCCTAGGTAAGGGAAGGGGGAAAGGGGGTTAACAGGTGTGCATTAAAAATATCACGGTACAAATCTGGAAAGACAGTGAACAAAATAATGGGGAGAACCAAACCAAGGAAATGTACAAGATAGATGTGCTACTGAATCTGGTGAGAGCGATGCAAGCAAATGAAGGTGGTGATATGAGGATGTCTATTCAAGGCACTCCAGTGTGGCACATTACAGGCTAAACGATAAACACAATGAACACGAAGAACATCTATTATGTCTCCAAAAATAAGTTCCCTCACACAGGATGCTAATTATTGCAATGATGTATAATATCTCCTGGACTGGAAGGTAGTCCAATACATATGTGAAATCGACATCAATTAGCCGATGATGAGAATACAACAAGCGTATGGTCACCAACACATCTAAGAGGAGTTGGAGACTGTGCACAGGTTATAATGACTGAAGTCATGAGTATGAGTAGCAAACAAATTAAAAAAACAGCACAGGATGATTTCTTGATGTAAAAAATATTTTAAAAATGAATGAGACAGTCACCCAAAGCGTATTATATGATTAAATAACAGAAGACACAAAGGTCTTCCCGAAGCTCAACATACAGCTGAATATTCATGAGTGTGTAACGTCTAACACAGTGGAGCATGGAGCACTGACAACTACCAGTATCCATGCATAATAATGTACTCACATCAAAATGATTCCATCTATTTGAATTAACAAATACTAATACGGTACAGACTAGACAGGTGTTGACAAAATGAAACTAGACATGGCACCGATGTTGTCTACCTGGTTTTGTAATGCTGCATTCAGTTGATTGTTGAAAGCAATGTTCAAGTTTCCTGTTGTTGATGTCACAGGCATTACACCAGCAAAGCTTGCTGGGATAGCTCCAGAGTTAGTGTCATAGATCTGTCCTGGCCGCTTGCACACCTCCATACTTCGTACACTGGACTTCACACTTAAAACAGAAGGAAAGAATAAAGGTAAAAGGCCCACACATGTACTCTTGCAATTTAAATGAGATGAAATTAATATATGTACAGTGTACCTTTTGTAAGATTTTGAAAATCCAGATGAAAAAATTAGAAAGTAAAAGATGGGACTGCCTAATTCACAACTGCTCCCAGAAATGCAGTCAATATACTCACTCTTCCACAATGCCAATTCTCTTCATACTGCTGGCAAATGCCAGCAACCTGTTATTTGTTGTTGTAAGAATTCAGTTCAGTTTGCTGAAATATCAGTGTCTTGAATATAACCACTGACATGGTAACCGAATATGGTAGAGGATACTGACAACAGACTACCAGTGAATCAACTACAAAGACCCTTAGATGTTCTGAACACAGATGAAGAGCAAGTAAACAAGATGTCTGCAATAACGAGAAGTCTCAGGCAGTGGTGTCCACCATAAAAACAATTTCTGTTTATTTGGTGTCTCTACTTAAATTTCTCCCCAACCTTTCAAATCAGTCCAATAAATAACATCACTGCTTGAGTAGAAAGAAAATCATAAGTTTGACTATGACAAACGTGACAGTCAATCTTTATTCTGAGGTCAAATTGCCTGCCTGTCATAAGCACGGGTTGCTGTGTTTCTCCTCAAGCAGGAATTCTTCCAGTAAATAGCAGACTTACTTTCTGCAATGTCCGTACTCAGCGAGGTGTGCCAATGTAACGAAAGCGTGGTTGATGGCTTCCAATGGACTAATTCTCTTATCTGGATCGATTGTCAACATCTTCTTCAACAAGTCAACAAATTCTCGCCTGATCAAAAGGAAACCAAGAAATATGTTTAAATAAAAGAAGTCTAGCTAGACACATGTAGTTTTGGATTTACTGATTCATGTATGTACGAAAATCAACAGAAACAAACTATAGTTTAGCTTGGGTTTGAATTTCTGGGATAAAAACTGGGTTATTGTTACAAACAGCTGTGAACTGTGTCATTTTCAATAGATGCATGAAAGAAACTTAATCCCACTTATTCATGTTTTGTGATGTGCATGTATAAATGTGAAATTAAATCTGACAGTTCCACATCTCAGGCTACAGTGCAGCCAAAGTTTAATATCTTTGTATTTTGGCCGGCATAGTAATATTATCTACATGTAATTTGACGAGGAGGATAATGATGATGAATTGGCAATTTTCCTCAATCTTGAATGCAAACTGCACCTGTCTGCTTTCTCAGCTAGCAATTCTGTTCCTTCAAGGTCTGTAGGGAAATTAACTCCAGCGATATCATCCAAGCAGTTGAAGATGTACTTCCTGGCTTCCTTAGCTTTAATTCCTGTCTCATTCTCATGCTCATTTGGTTTCTGCACAAGGCAAGGAAAAAGAAACATCTGTCTGAGCAAGAGCAAAGTTACAAAAATAGAGATGTTAAACTTTGCAGATTCAGGGCAGATGTCGACTGCTTTTCCTGTTTCTCATGGAAAAGATCTGTTTTTGCTATACAGTGAACATACCATGGTACAATGTGGGTTTCCAATATGTACACTATACATTTCATGTGTAAGTGCTAAGGGACAGAAGCAAATTGGATTAATGTACTTTTCTATTTTTGCTGTAATAGTCGCAGAGTCAAAAATTCCTTCCGCTTGACGTGCCACAGTACACAGACAGACACATACATGTAAGGGTCACTTGACTGATTTTTACTGATACAACTTTGCCTGGTTTTCGCTGCAAACTATGATTTGTATCTGTAACAGTGCACAACCCATCACATTACAGAATGTACCGGTAAGACATTGAAGTTAAACAAAACTAAGTCCCAATTCTCACCACGTCCTTGAACTACTGAACCACTGATGATAACTAGATGTACATGTACATGTATACAGGGTTCTATAGAATGAATCTTCTCACTGTGTTCGAAGTAAATGTGCAGTAGCAACCTATACACTGTCTCTATACTGGGAACTATATTCCTCACAGGTCAACATACTGTACATGAAGGGGGTACTGGTAGGGTATCTTAAACTCCCAGACTCTTAATTCCAATGGGAGTACATTGATTAGCTCTGACACACTGAGATTACTTCAAATTGTGTCAAGCTATGAGCTGTATCCTGACTCTATCTTATCTTGTAGGGACACCCTGGCAACACAGAAAGCAACTATTGGGACAGCTTGTCAATAGCTAATTGAACTGGGAAAAAGCTGTTGGGTGGTAAAATGAGAGAGTTGCCTTTAAGTCTACGGAATAGAAAGATGTTTAGCATAAAATGTGTAATTGTTCCCAGGAGTGCAGATTGTATATACACTTGTCTCTGAACAAAACCAAACTGGAATCACATTTCACAATTTCCCAAACCAGGACCTCTTTGCTTAGAATGACAATCTAGAGAAACTTTTTTCAAAGGCATGTCATGAATGTTGTTCTTGGAACGGAAATTCAGAGTTTTTATCAACTGTTTGTGAATTGGAAAACAGACTGCATCCTGCTTAGAAGAGGTGACATGAAACTGTAATATGGCCCTATCCTTTCTACATGTTTCTTTCCTCAATCGTGAACTTACGAGAGTTCATCACTGGTCATGCTTTATTGGACAAAAAGGGACAGGCACTGTTCTAGCCTTTAACCATTCTAGAAACTTAAATGCCAAACCAGAGCTTATGACAGGGTTCCATCTTTACTACATTCTATCCATACCTATTAATATATTCTATCAATATCTTAAATATAAGACAAAAGATTAAAACTTCACACAACTTACAGGTAAATATAAATATGTTTACACCTATTAAGCTTGCAAACTTTGTAAACTTGCTACAAATGCTTTCTTCCCCTCCTTCTTCCATGTTTCACCCTACTTTCCAGAGTACTCTCTTAAGCCAGGCAAATCCATATCCTGATTATTATTTTCGTTCCCATGATAAAAACTGATAACAGGAAATATTGAGGATTATGATGGCTCATCCTGCCAGTTTCCATGTCATTGGTTTTGACAAGTCAAATAAGCTTCAATTAAATCCTATTGGCCCTGGTTGTTTACTACCAGCAGCTGGCCTATCACAATATGAATATTCATAACACAGTTACACTAATGCATGATGACCCACCTGATAAAGGTCCATATGGAACTTTAAACTGGCTACATTGATCAGGGGATCTGATTCTTAATCATGTTTATGGAGAAATTAGTGTACTTGATTTGAGCAGACATGTTGAATACCATAGGACATGTATGTCTTCTCTTATTTTACGACTTATTTGATGGACCAGGGGTTACATGTGCCAGTACATCAGAGTTGTTGAAAATCTTGAGGGTACTCTTGGGTACATCTCTAGCTGCAAGGTGTAATAAGTTCTGTTAGTGTGCGTGCCCTTTTTTTATCAAGCCTTCCGGTATCTTCGCAACTGACGCATGTCTTATCCATAAATGTCAGTGCTCCTTTAAACAAGCCTTATACTGGAATGTGGGGTATTGATACATGAAGCCATACATTTAGTGTTCCACTTTTCAGTGTTCTTTCCATTACATGAGCTTTCCTTTTATAAACTGCTGACATTGTGAGGCTTGAGCCCAAATACTGTCGATACATGTACAGTACATGTATATGTTTCTTTCAATAATTTGAATATTTCTTTAATTTCCAAGCTGAAATACTAACATTAAGAGCTGCTACAGGCTTGAAATCTATACAGGTTCCAGAGTGAGTGCCCCTTTAATCAAGACAGCCTGATCCTGGCAGTATTTCTGAATGACTCACTGTGTACAGGATGGATGTGGCAGGTTATAAATGGATCGTATGATCCTAGGACTACACACAGTAAGGGGACTACATACAGCCAGCAAACTCAACAACTTTTCTTGGATTGCTTCACTTTGCCACATAATTTCTTAGAAAAACAAACCTCTGAGCAGACCAGATTTTGTATTGGTGACATTTGCAGACGTACATAATTTATGACTCCGAATCTAAACAAATTGGAACCTCTGCACAATGGTCTGGCTTCACAGACTTTGTTGTTCAAGTGGCCGGCAAAAGTATGGCTCAACAAAAGAAAATGGTTACCATGATGCCGTTTAGTTGGTTTTTCCGTGAAGAACTGCTAGACAGACCCAAGAGCAGAAAGTTGACAGGTACATGTAGGTCAACAATATCACATCATAAACAAACAGATGAATACCTTCAACCTCCAGAGAGGAAAGTTTGTGTCTTGCTCTCTCTTGAAGAATCTTGACGTTTTTGTAGCAGCACTCAAGAGATTTTCAGCAGGTAATCCTTGGGTCTGTGAGATGTATCGTATCTACAAAGATAAAACAGAGGATTCGGTCACATCTAGAAACATCATGCCTTTCCAGTTGACTTATAATCTTGTCCATCCTGTACGGTCAACTGTTACATCACACATTTTAATTTGCCTTATTGCCTTCAGTGAGGCATACTGCATCAAGCTACTTCAAGTCACACTTCTGTCATCACTAGTGCAGCTTATCCACAAGGCTTTAAGATGAACATTCAGCTTTCCAAAAAAATGGTACATGACTCTATGGGACCACTGAAAATTATTACTTTGACACTATTGCCAGCCTTGCAACAACTAAAAATAAACTTCATTAGGATGGTGGAATGGGGGATAAACACATCCATGGAAATGAATTCATATTACCCAAATGGTTAAAATTTAACTTCCAACAATGGTTTATTTCGTAAAGTTTGTAATATGCACTGCCCTGGGACGATGGAAGTAGGGAAGGGGAAGTAATTTTCTAACAACCTGTCTCAGCTTAAGAAAAAACAAAACGCCTGGCGAGTGACTAAAAATGGGCACTAACTGAAAACTTCCCCTTGTAGCTAGAAGATTAGTGAACTAACCATCTCTGGCCCAGAATAGTTCATATCCACCTGTGCATACCCTTCGATGGTAGGCCAAGCAAAAATTTGTCTTGGTCTTCCTTAAATGTTCAAATCCATTACTATGTGATGTTCAATGTCAATTTTGTGTTCAACTTCATACCATGATATTAAACCAGTACATATGTTTACTTGAGAGTGGACATAAGGTCTTACTCAGCCTAAGACATATCTCCTTTGACTCTTTGACACATCGATATGTCAAACGTTGTATTGACCTTATGTCCACTTTCAAATAAACAATGTGATGTTCAATGTCAATTTAGTGTCAATTTCACACCATGATATTACACCGGTACATATACACTGCACCATACATTAAATGCAGGATTTCAATGGTCCCTGGGGGTTAGGGTTAATGCCACATCACTTTATCCCCCCTTTTTTACAGTATCCAGACAAAAATCAACAAATATTCAGATTGGTTTTTTTACAAGCTGGCACAAAATTCTTAGAAATCTACATACATGTTATCCCTCTAAAATATATACCCTGGTACATTTCACAGTAAAGCCAACATTTTTTCTATGAAGACAGGATGTTGAATCTGTTAAAATAAGATGCAATAGATTTGGTTGTCACATTCCACATTTGTAACACGATTGAATCTAGCACTCTACTTCACAATCTAATAATGAACAAGTGTACATGTAGGTGTATGTACCGCTTATTACAATCACAGATTATCAACAATGTGCATCCAGTGATTGAAAAATATCCATGTTGATTATCTTTATTTCCCGAAAACTACATGTACATGCTTCATGAGAGTATTTTCTAAGTCTAGAATTCATTGAGCATTATCTTCATTTTTCAAAAACTACATGCTTCATGAGAATATTTTCTAGGTCCAGAATTTCATGAAAAGGGAGGGAGAAGTTTCTTTTGTTTTACAAATGTAAATGAGAAAAATTGCACTATGGAGGCTTATTCCAAGTACATTCAAATGAAAAGCAACAGAAACCTTACGATTCAAAAGGTACGGTACATTATTCATTAAAAAATTTAGAAGGCATATAGTGCTGCAAGTAGGCGCCAAGGTTCGGTTTGGACACGGTTCAAAATTTTTGTTGCTGAACTTTGCTTCAGTGTGGACACGTACACACAAGTATATGTGGGTGTACGTGCAATGCACACTGAGACATCAAAGAGCACACTATGACCGTGCCATATAGTACTTCCGTGTGTAAACTACGTTAATACAAGCAATGAACCTCCTCTCCACGAACCTCCACGAGCAACTTTGATTTGAACATAACTTTTGCAAAACTGTTTCCACAAATTTGTTTAGAAAGTTACCATTGGAGGTGTGACAGTTTCCGACCAAGTGTTGTCAACCAAACAAAACGATCGTTTTGTAGGATGTGTGAAAACAGAAAAAAAGAGCATGCTCAAATGGGAGTTTCCTCCTTTACAGGATACAAGATCAAATTAGATGAGTGAATTGTGTTTTCATTATTTTTCACAAAACAGATTCAACTGCCAAACCATGGCTTTCGATGTATCGAAGAAGTACCTTGGTACCAAGTCTGCATTCTTTCTCAGGACAGCACCCACATGGTCAAAGGGGCGATTTTCCATCAGTCTTTTTTCGAACGGACAATTGCATTTTGTTATTTGAGATTTGCAAAAAAACTTTGAGATATAGCAAACTTCCATTACAGCGTATTCACACTATGACTTCAATCAAACATGATCAACGAAGGCAAGTCAGGCCACGGCGCGAATTAAATCTTGTCGCGCGCTGGAGTACTACACTGGCCCGTCTGGCAAAATCAGTTTTCCCTCCAGAGTTGCCTTTGATCAAGCACTAGTCTGACTGTGATCAGCATCCAATCAAAATTCATTTTGCACTGCTAATTATAACATCATTGGTCTAATATGGAACCTGAGGGTGTAGCTACTGGAGATTGGCAAACGTAATGCTAAATCTGAAAGCACAATTGGATGTAGTGAGAATTTAGAATGTGCAGCGGAAATGCCGTACATTGCATGTTCTCAGTTGATTATTAAGGAATTCTAACCACATGCTTTTTACAATTATCGCGTGAGGCAGGGCCATCATAAGTGTACTGTACAAGTATGCACATGTACGGTACATTTATAGTACGTGTGTACACACACGTGCCGAGCGCTGGTGCGGCACAACTCGTTGTCTATTTTTTGTTGATTTTGGTTTTTTTATCATGTTTTCTTGCGTGCATTCCATGCCCTGTCAATGGCAAGCAATATTAAAGCCAAACATCCGAACCGACCAGTTTGGTTTGGTTTAGTCTGAAAGTGCCATGTTCAATGATTTTTGGTTCGGTTTGGCGGTTTGACTGCGGCACTAAAGAAATATACACTTTTAAAAGGAAAAGAAGTATTATTCATCTTCTAAACCTTGCTAAATCGTGGCTGGAGATACATGTACTCGTAGCTATTAGAAATCTAGAAGCTATTATAGTGATTATAATGTACAACTGTGTGCTTTATTGCAACTGATTTTGAATATGGTTTGTTCCTCAATCTGCCAGTCGGTATGACCAAATGCAACAAGTATTCAGATATTCGATTGAACTTAAGGTCAAATATTTGAATAGTAAATTGCACTTTTCGAATTGACTCAGCCCTATACAGGAATAATATTGACGTTTATGTATGATGTCCTAGTACATGTACAACCTTCATGTCCTAACACACCATTACACAAGTACATGTAATGTACTGTACATGTACACTGTTTAGTGTTGTAATGGCCATGCATTTTAGCATCCTCAATATACATGTACATGTAGGTGCACCTGTAGGACAGTTGAACCGTTATCAATGGTAGCAAACTAAAGCAATGATAAGATCTATACCTGACTTTTGACCCTGATAAGAATAACAATAGTCCACCAAATAAATACAGAAAGGTCCCTAAACCCTAACCCCCTAGGTCTTTTTACAAGGAACCACCCCGAATCCTCCAAAATCCTTCAATTTTCAACATGGAAAAATTACATTCAGCCAAAATCCTCCAATATCCTCCAAAAGTTCTTGAAAATGTCAGTTGGAGGCGTGCCTAACAACCAAAATCCGTCAAAATCCTCCGGCAATTCCTGTCATGTTGAGGCAGTGCGAATGGCACTCTTGAGCTGTGCAGTTGATTCAAAAGAAATATTGGGCTGAACTTGTGCTTAACTAAGCACAAACAACATATGGTATAATCCACAACCTTCACGTATGGCATCCTTCAAAATCAGCCACATACATTTGCCATACACCCTGAATCCTCCAAATTCCTCCACTTTGCAGAAAAGGATCTTGGAGGATTTGGGAGGGTTAATCACCCTTGACACAAATGCTGTACATTGATATCAGAAATTACTTAAAACAACTGGTACTTGAAGGTACTGGACCAAGTTTACTGTCTTCCAATAAATGGCACTGATGTACATGTGCCGTTCAAATATAAAACAACTGGTACTTGAAGGTACTGGACCAAGTTTACTGTCTTCCAATACACAAATTTGTTCTCTTTTCTGTCCCACTTGTAGAGTTTAAATGGCACTGATGTACATGTGCCGTTCAAATATAAAACAACTGGTACTTGAAGGTACTGGACCAAGTTTACTGTCTTCCAATACACAAATTTGTTCTCTTTTCTGTCCCACTTGTAGAGTTTAAATGGCACTGATGTACATGAGCCGTTCAAATATGAAACAGACAGAAGTTAAAATCATTGCCTGGAACCCTTGAACTGTGGGTGTACATGTAATTTCTGCAGTTAGCTTTTGGTAAGTATAAGCTGCATAGACAGTTGCTGGGTGGGTATAAATCTCCATCAAACTGACCTGGAAACTATTTACTGGTACTGACAAACTAGGATGATGAGAAAAGATGAGTGGACCTCCCAATATACATGTATGTACATGAACTTAGGGCTTTCTATAAATGTGGGGTTTAAAGTGTGGCATTTTTGTTTCCCTGTTACACCTGACCTCTGTGATTTGACATGGAAATATTGAAATCGACTTTGAACCACTTATTTTTGTTTGGCAGATAATTTACATTTGCTTAACCACAATCGGAAAATAAAAAAATGTATTCTAAACTTACAAAATTCATCTGTCAGATGGGACAGACATGGAAACAATTGGACCCCAAATTTATAGACTGACCAACATATATACATGAATGTGTGCATTTTGTTTGACTTTCAACAAAATACATGTATGACTGTTTTAATTAAGACTTGGGCAGGTGTAAGTGAGCTCACTTCCACTTCACTTAGGAGTGAGTTTCAAGCCAACAGGGTGGTAGCATTAATCCATCATGTGACTATTGTCAGCAAGAGGAGTACCAGTACCTACATGTACATGTGCATATAGATAGAATCAACAGGATGGATTTAAAGCTACTAAGGACAATGGTTTTGGAAACAACCGGCACAGGAGCTTGAATAGATAGCGTACATGTACATGGAACAATGGGCTTCTTGCTGATTCAAGGCATCTTACACTGGCAGAGGACAAAACATACATATCCATGTACATGTACATTTACAAGTTGAAGACGACAATTAACCTAATCCTAAAGTTGAGAGAGTAGCCAGGGTTAATAAGTCAATCTACCTTTTGGAAAAAAAAGAAGTTTATGAAGTGATCATTTGTGACCACCACGTGAACTGTCAATTTTTAAAAAATAAACATAAAAAAAAGAATATCCAGTGGCACCAAAGTGCTCAAGAGTTCCCTAAGGGGGTACCCCTGCCTATTAGATTTATTAAATCATGAATATTCATAAATTGTTTACCTGATCATATTCTGAAGCTCCTGGATAAAGAGGCCAGCCTAGGAACAGTTCAGCTACCACACAGCCTAACGACCACATGTCAATTGCTTCACAGAATGGTAGACCCAGGATAATCTCTGGAGCTCTGATAGAAAAAGCAAAATAAAAAAAGTACTCACGTAGGGTTGGAATAGCAAATTGAAATATTCTTCAAATCTGGCAATCTGGGTGGCATCTGAAAGGTCAAATGCTTCTCTTTCCGATGCACGATATGGAGAAGGATGTGCACAAAGATGTTGCAATACAAAAATGTTTTGCTTAAATACAAAGCTTTAATATAGGCCAATAATGAGGAAACAACCATGAGAAATTGTCACTCCAGTAATTACACGAGTTTCTTGGAATTGTTCTTAACAGCGAACTTTCACAGCCTCCTTTTGGCACTGTTCCTGTGGTTATTTAGATGTCGCAAAACTTGGTGCACAACAGAAGTAAAAGACAACAGAACAAGGCCTTGCAGTGGAAATCTTACACCTGCATGTGCACCTACATGTACAATTGTACATACGCAGTGTTCTCCTTGGCCGAAAATTTTGACGGGGCAGTAGACAAAATTGCGAGTGTGAAGCCCTTAACGTATGGGGCCCCGGAAAATTTTGGATTCTAGATGCTCTATGGTGCATTCTAGGGCAATTTCCAGTCCACTTTCGTCTGTAATTTGACCCCAAATCTGATTGCATTTACAACATGAAATATTGGCCAGGATATTCTTCGGGAGGGGTTTCTTCATCAAAAGATTTGATGATGAAATCATTTTTAGCAGAACCTCATGTTAGTGACTCAAGACATGCTTGAGATGAGCAAAGCATGCAGTTTTCTCAATGATCAGTTGACTGTGAAAAGACAAGTAAAAACAAGCCTTAAAATGTGCCCTTGAATAAAAAAGGACAAAAGAAATATGTTCAGGCAAAGATAAGTTTACAATTTCCAGCTCACGTCATAAAAATGAAGCAACCCCTCCATCAGAGCAGAGCGTGGGGGCCGCTCAGGCATGGCACGGTCCTCCCACTGGTGCCTGCGCACACTCTGCAAAACAATGTTGCACTGCGGGTACCAGTCACATGCACTGCGTGTACATGTACACGCTTGCGCAATACAATGTACATGTAGGTGTACACGTACAAAACATACACGATGGTTTTTTTTGGGACACAAGGTTGACTATGCATAACGGTAGGCAGCAAATGATCACCATTGTCAGTACATCATAAGCATCACTTAATCTTAGTCCCTGATGGCCAATCCTAATACCTACATGTGTAGCTAGATCAAAATATCTTGAATACACAGGTACACATACCAGTATGTATTAAGAGGCAGTACCACCTGTTTTTTTAAAGTTTTAGGTGTGTGAAATTACAGCACATTGCATTTGAAAGTTAAGTTGGGAAAAAAGTGAAAGAAATTCACAACTTTTCCCCCTATGAATTCGCAGCGAATTGGATGTGAAAGGGGCGAACGACGTGCAAATACAGTGCGAATATCGTGCGAAAACGGTGTGAATCTTTTGGGAACACGGCGTGAAACATTTGCGAAAACATTGAGAAAAAACTGTGCGAAAACAGTTTGAAAATTTCTGAAAGTGATGTGAAACGTTCCGAAAATCATGCGGAAACTTGCGAAAACGAGAAGCATTGTGCAGCGAAAATTTGCCACACGCGCACGACTATTATGCAGTGAAGAGTCCATTATGCAGGCTGTGCTGCACTTGGGCCGGTCGGGGCCAACTCACCACGTGGAGTGTGCTGTTGTAGTCTAGTAGCGATTCCTCGGCCAAGCCGTCCGGTCCATGCAGCGCAATCGCGGGTATGTGTTCACCACGGCGAGCTGCGCCCGCCTGGCGAAGTTGTTTTCTTGGATTATGATTAATAAACACTCGTCAATGTCGGAAAATAAATGTCTAAAAAGTTGTCTGGATGTTGAGTGCTTAAACGCGAGTCCCCAAGTCACGAAGCACATGAAATGTGTGTACTGATTACAACAAACTTAACTTGCTCTGCTGTGGTGACATGGGTTATTTGCACACTTTTTATTTATTCTCGTGGTGTAGTTTGGCACACAAAAAAATCAACAATGAAATATTACATGTAGTATTTTGTTACCGAAAGGTAAAAATGTGAAAAAATTTTCCCATGTTGGTGTTAACTTTCAATCGCAATGTACTGTATATCACAACTGCATATAAGCCGTGTTCCCATTGGACGTTTTCTTCTGCGGGCACACGGAAACTTACCGCGACATTTCTTCATGTCAATCTACTGCGCATTCCCATGTGGAATTTTTTTGTACCGTAATGGAATGATTATTCGCTGTGTTAGGCCTAATAAGACCAGCTCATTACATTGCCTGCACTGTACATGTACAAATCATGACAAAAACAACAAAATCGCCAAATCTGACAAAAACAACGACAAAGTCAGACGAATTTGACCAAATCTGCCACGAAGAAGACGAACTTGTACAGGAAAAGCCCTGTACACAATGTGTGTACAGCTTTATTCGGGCATGCTTCACAGTTTGTGCATAGCATGCTGCTGTACTGTACACACGCAGATGGAGACAGGGAACTACTGGTATACAACTACATGTATTTTCACATGTCCGCTGTCGATCTCTGTGTAGGAAGTAGCCTGGTTCGTATGTTTATCGTGATTGCAGTCAATCTACAATGTAAGCATGGAACTGTTTCCATTGGACTTTTTTGTGCCCCTGCTAATTTACCATGGCTACATGGAAATCTTCTGCGACACTTTTCGGCCTGTTAGTTTTACATCATTTAATTTTGTAATTCTTCAGGAAAGTCGTGGCAAGATAATCCAAAAAGTTCAATGGGAAGACGCCTA